GGAAGAGAAAGAGGCAGAGAGAGAGACAAGGAGGGAGAGACAGGGAGAGAGAGAAGCAGGGAGAGAGACAGGAAGAGGGAGACAGGGAGAGAGAGAAGCAGGGAGAGAGGATGCCCCTCCCCTGATGGCCGCCTCCTTCTCCTAATGCCTGTGATAATGTATCACTCCTTGCTCGGCTGACAAACCATTTGCAGGGAAATGAGATTTCATGCTGCAGATTAGTCCTTTGGGAGCAGAGAGGGGAGCTGCTGCGACTCCCCCACAGCACAGACGCGGCACAGACGCGGTGAGCGCGGAGGACCCGCGACGGGCTCCTGCCCTCCATGTCACGCTCCAGGTGAGATCCCTAGCCAGCGTATGGCTGTGTTAAAGATAAACGAGGTCAATTAACAGAGTCACTGGGGGAACGGATCAGCTTCCACACCAGCGACTCCGGAAGCACAACGCTACGTGGGAGATGGCTCCCCTCTCCAAGCCCCCAGCCCTCACAGCGGCCCTCTCTGTTTGGTAAAAACCCCTCTTCACCTTTAATTCCCCTTCTCTCACTCTCTCCTCCTCCTCTGTTCTCTCTCACGCACAGCACAGCCTCACAACACCGCTGCCCTCATACTCTGTCATGTCCCTGTTTACTCAGCTCACATCTCATTAACTCCACTGTTCTTTGGCTAATTCCCGCTCCAGGACGAGGTCACGATTGTACAGGGTCTTTAGGCAATTAAAACACCATCCACCCCCCATTCATGCAGCTAGATACTCACAGCTCTCAAATAAAAACACTGTGTAATAAAAACAAAAAGGGGAAACACTTGTCTAAAATATAAAGTATATTAAGTGACTCTTTATGGGCTGAGAATAAATGCGACATTTTTACGAGAAAAAGTTCATTCTGGCATGTGGTGGATGTATTTTCAGAGTTTCTGTTCAGCAAATAAATAGTTCATGACGTTCTCCTGCTTATGTCTATCTCCAGTCTTAGGATTTCCATGTTTTTTTCCCAGAGTTCCTCTCTGCCCTGTCAGGCTTCCGTTCCACGCAGGCAGAACGTGACACAATGAGGGTGGCGTTATGTGAGCAATATGCTAAGTTTTACTGGGATTTCAGACAGAAAATGATTTGCAGCAGCTCCCCGGGTCTCAGCCATGGATCCCATCGGCCAGCTTGTCACTGGACTGGAGCTGGGGAGTCTGGTGCCTGGTTGCATTACGTTCAGTTACCCTGATTAATTTGCTGTGCAATTTCTGAAGGCAACTGCAAGCACCTGAGCTTCCTGAGGAGTGTCGGGGCAAACTGGAGAAAGGAGGCAGGATTAATGTGCTCTGTCAGCCAGCACCTGCTTTCACACACTTACCGTTATATCGCTCGTTTTGATTGGCTGATTGGCAGCACGAGGTAATCCCTGTTTTCCAGCACAGTCATTCTGAAATGTGGGGTTGGTGAGACCTCAGAGGAACAGGGAGGCACAGAGAGAAAGGCCTTTAATGGGGGAGGGCAAGAGGCAAAGTGTTTATGACGAATATAAAAGGCAACATTGGGAAGAACACATAAAGGATGGGAGGGAAAGATGAGAAAAAAATGTGGAGGTACAGGACACAGGAGAGGGCGGGATACGTTTGAATTTTAAAAGTGCTTTGGAGTATAACGAGAAGATAATGTGCAGATATTCTGATAAATAATCACAACCAGCAGGTGGCAGTTTCATGACGAGCGTACTGATGACCCTACGCTGACCTGTTAACAGGGACACGCGGGTGACATGGCAGCTCAGCGTGCGATTACGCGCCTGTGAGCATGTCATCACGCAGGGAGCCGAATCGGGACGCAGTTCAGCGTTAATCCCAGCCGGCAGCTGCATCCTGCCGACATGATCGCAGTAAAAATATAGTGATCAGTTATATGGACAAAACCTGCGTATGTTAAGGTGGGGAGCACTAGGGACAGCCAGCCCTACAAGTGATATAGGCGACTGCCTAGGGCGCTTTTTGATTAGGGGGCGCAGAAGAGCAAGTGAAAAAAATCTGAAGAAATACCTCTAGTAGCGTTCCATGACATTACAGTTATTTATACTAGTTTTAATATTTCACTGCTTTTCGAGTGATACATGCTAGCGAGTTACAGCCAGGTGCTCTGGTCTAGGGGTGGGCGATATGCCTTAAAATTATTATCACCGTATTTTTCACTTTTTGGACGGTGACGGTATTATATCACAGTATTACTTTTATTCGAAGTTTTAAAGGGAAGAATGATGTCCTGTTCTTTTACATAGTTAAAATTTTAAAATATATTTTATTTTATGGTTATGGGTGGTCTTACTTTGAAAAGATATAAAAAGTGAGATAAGTAATGTTTTCTCATATTAATTTCATATTTCAGAGTGAATGATAAGCCGTTTCAGCCGAAACAGTTCATTTCAAATATAACACAGGGTTACCAACTATATATGGTCAGCTGGCTGGAGTGAGATTTTCCATTCGAGATGCACACACATGCACATGCATTTACATGTATGTGACAGTGTTATTACCATGTAAATAGTCTGTAGGTTTTGCAAACTACCCCAATACTTTTGATATCGCTACTTTTAAGTTTATAATGGAATTATACAGATTTGGTGTAAGATTTCCTGCGTTAGCACCTTGCATGAAATCAGCAGCGCATACATATGCTGATTTAGCGAATATGTTTGACTTTTTAGTTTAATGTGTATAATTAAACGAAATCTGCTTTAAATCTGTTTTTCATTTGGTAATGTGCTATCAGGACGCGGCGTCAGAGTATATTACACAGAAAATTCACACAACGTAGATAAACCGATTACGTATACTATATAAGAACAACTATTCAGATTACAACCGGAGCTTGGAAGAAAATAAAATGCTTTATTTTTATTAATAGGCTATGCAGTATAAATGGGCTGTTGACTTGTCACGGTCTTAACGGTACAGTGCAAATCCATATCGTAGCGCAAAATCACACCAGTAATAACTATGATACAGGTTTACCGCCCGCCCCTACCCTGTGCTACTGTTATTAAATGTTATTAATATAGTATATAGTGATATATATGAATTGGCAAAATTTATTTTCTCCTGTTCTTGTGTGTTTGCGTGTGTGTGTGTGTGTGTGTGTTTGTGTGTGTGTGGAGGTCACTCAGAATCTCGCCTATAGGCAGTGGGCAAAGTCATATTCAAATACCGGTAAAATGGGGCGTACAATCACCAGGATTTGATTTCAGCTGTTATGATTTAATTATCTCGAATCACTAACCACAACAAAATAAGCATAAGGACAGACTTACAACAATTGCTGTGAAGATGTAAATAGGCCCATCCATCTTTCCAGGCGGACAGCTGGGGGCGCGCATAGCTGCGGACGGCACGGGAGCGCGCTGTTCTCCGTTCTGGCTGCGGAGTTTAGAGGTGTATAGGATAGGGGACTCAAAAGATAATCCAGAGAACTTCCGTAACGCCATAAAATATAATCTTATTAATGTTATTCAATTTAAAACTTAAATTAAAGAAACAGCTTTGCTGAAGTAAATTCAGTTAGACAAATAATTTTGGAGTCTTCGTTTATTATCTATTTCCATATTTAGTAATTAACTCACTCGCGTTATTAACATTAAATAATTTCTCAAGAAACTGAACTGCACGAACAATTTAACTTTCACATAACAATCACGATTTGATAGCGGTAATAAAACAATAAAAGCTATCAGTTTCAATCGCAGGCGTGAGAGCTCGCACAGAACACTTGTAAAGCCTCCTTTTCTCCGTACTTATTCAAGCGTCATTAAATTAAATATTTAGGAGTCTGAACACTCATCCTGCGTCCTTACGCTGCTTTTGTTTATAAAACACCCGAAAATGCAAGCAATGGGTGGACATACAGATCAGCCTGTCCCGCCAACTTCTCCCCGGTGTCCCTTCCTGTTGTATACGCCTATCGACAGCAGTTTAAGTTCGTCACATAAATAAATAATAATACGGTGAGGTTCCGGTTTAATCTGCGGTGAAGTTCCTGTTTAATGCGGTGGCGTTCTGGTTTAAACTTAACATTGAGGTTTTACTTTAGACTCCACGGTGAAGTTCTGCTTTAAACTATTCGGTGAAGTTCTGGATTAAGCTCAGTGATCTTTCTCCGTTGTCAGAAGTCTTGCTTGTCATCACGGGCAAGCAGTGTGAACCGTGACACCTGTTGAGGGCCGTTTCTGTTTCAGGTTGGTTCCCTGAAGGGTGGAGGCCTGAAATAGGGGTTAAGTGTTTTCTGGATGGCTGGTGTCACTGCATGCCTGAATATGAATATCCAAAGCATGGGCGGAGTTTGAGGGAGGCGGGCGGCTTTTCGGGAGGGAACTGGCCCTCCAGTCTCCTTGGACTAAATTGCAATAATTTGACAACACCAGCATTGCACATGTTCTGCGTTGACACTGCACCTTTGCACCTTTGCATAAGGGGTTTGTCGGTACCCTAGAGGTACACAAAGTAGTAAGTTAGTGTGCATCAGATACATATGCGTGAAACCATAACTTACTAGGGGGAATGTGTTAATGCGTCCGTTGTATCGGGGATAGAAGAAGAAAGAAAAGAAAGAAAGAGATAAAGAAAGAAAATCTGTTGCGATTATCTTGATTTGCCGATCCAAAGCAAAGTTTATCCTATGTCTAACGGAGTTACAGATCATAAGGTCTGAACATAAAGTTACAGTTTCCGAGATATTCTCTATTTGAATCATATGGTTACATATTCTTTTAAAATCATTCATACTGAAAATATCCATATACCGACACATATTTTAAAAATATGACTAATTGCACGTAGCCTAACGTCTCAGTGAAATTATTATTTAGGACATCAATCGCATTAAGTTTAATAAACTGTTTTATTGTGAAAAAAAGATTAAAATATTTCTGCATTTGGGAGTTCGTGATGTTCATTTTTAATCCCCGAAAACACATAACAATAATAATATTAATAGTACCTATTACAATGATAAAAGTATTTTAATTTTTTAAGTCGCATGCTGTCCTTTTGGAAATGCACACGAAACGAAGCGAATCTCAGCATTGCCAACACGCAGAAACTAATAAGCTGTATGAAGGCAGACGTTCACTCTTCCACTCTAGGGGTGTGTTAATGAAAGCACCGGGCTCATGGTTAGATACGCAATTTACAGAAATCAGCCAATATGTCATCCAAATGGCGCGTGCGTCAGCACATCGACGATGTATTCAAAGAGTGCGTCTACATTCGTTATTAACTAGTTTTAGTCATGATTCATTACTATCTGGATTTCTTTCTCCTTTTTTACAGGAAATATCCACTAAGTAATTGATGAGATATATTTAGTTAATTTACTGGCGATTGGAAGTGATTAAACGGACATGTGTCCATGTGTGTGTTTTGGTTGCATACCAAATTGCATACGAATTTGCTCTTGGGATGTATACCGTTTTTCTCGTCGCTGTCTGTGCTGCCATCCACCGCGTTAATTCATACTAAAATTGCAGTTCAACTTTCAGCAAGCTCGGATCTCTTTCACCGCTAGTTTCGCAGTGAAATTTGCCCTCTGTGTTCACATTAAAGCTAGTCATTTGGCCCATCACAACATCTTCTTAAACGGAATTTATATACAACGGAAATATATATTTAATTAAATGTTTTTTTTTTTACTATTTAATGCTTTCTGCAGAGAATAATCAGATACAAAAACTCGAGGACAGTATGAAAAACAAATGAGTAAACAACAGCAGCACAACAATAATAATAATAATAATAATAATAATAATAATAATAATAATAATAATAATAGCAGCAATAGCCTAATAATGATGGCTTGTGAGTAGCCTAGTGCTTCAGGTGAATTTAGCACTCAGAAATGTAAGTGACGTTTCAGGGAGCCATATGGCCGGGACGCTCAGCTCACTGACCGGCTAACCGAGGTGCCAGAGCGTCCGTAATGTTTGTCTTTGTATAAATGATAGCGCTGGAAGTGAGAAGACCACAGGCATTCCGACGAAGAGGCGAGAAGAAACGCGGCCATAAACGTTACATTACAACGTGAAAACAATTACTAACCTAAACAATAACACAGGAGGAATAACAGGGCCAGAATGCATTTAAATACCGATAACAGAGTTTTCTCTAGAGAGAAATCGTTGCCCGTATTTCATCGTCCATTCAAACTCATACCGTGTGAAAGTAGAAATATAATTTCGGAATTTTAAAAGATGAGGAGGAAGTCCAACTGGACAGATATTGACAGGCTGAAATATCCGCACGTGGGCTCATTCAAGCCACTTGCTGCAGTAATGAGTTCCTTGTATATGACAGTTAACAGCCGCCGTGTTACATATAGTGGGCCAGGAGCTGACTCTTAATGTATCTATTGTAATGCACTGAGCGAAAGTTTGACGCTTGTACATGATGCTGCATGGCTCATAATCTGACAAATGAATAAACTCTGATACGAGTGAATGACGGGAAAATGTGGGGTCGTGACAAGTATAATTGCTAATTAATTGCTAAGTAGATAAAGTTCTTGGGGGGGGGGGGACAAATAATTTATATTCAGATATCACCATATACTTCTTACAGTGTTAGATAATAGATCATACCTCCACCACTTTTATTAAGTAATAGGCCTATGTGTGAAACATGTGGAAAAACCCGCCACAATGAAATCGACTGCGAATCTTTCTGAATAACTCAACAATACACAGTCGTACTTGCTGGTATCTGAGGATGAAAGACAGCAAGATTTCCACGTCCCGGAGCGATCCCTCGTCTCTCTTACGGTGGATGGACGGTAATTTGTCCTGGTTGCTCGGTTTGAGTGGCATCGGTTTTAATGTGCGGAGCTACTCACCACGCCTTCACCTAGTAATGGGGGCGTCGCCGTGGCATCAGGGGGGATAAAAGCGACGCACAGCCCAGGCTGATGATATTAGAAACATCTTAAGAGGCGTTTCATCCCGAGGAGTCACCTGAAACGGTTTTGCGGCTGTTCTGTATACCTTTGGATAATACACACCTGAGTGGACTGAGATTTTATTTATTCGCTGTTCAGGTAAATGATCGGTTTCTAAACACCAGAAGGTACAAATGGCAGTAACATAGCAGCGCAGGAGATTCTGAACTTGCTTTATTAACTATAGGGTGCATTGCGCTGCTCAGATCTCCTCGTTTCTGTTTTTTCCCCCACAATTTTTGACGTACAACGACTGACATATGCAGAAATAACGTCATCATAAGCACATTAGTGGGTTATCCGCCGGGGTAGAGAAACCCGGTCAAGATGAGCGTAGGGGTAAACAAAAATTCCTTTGGAATTGTGCAGGTTTTAAGTCTGCAGGAACGACTTGGGCTTGTTAACTAAGAGTATCCATATACAGAATTGCTCATGAAGTATAAAACTGAATTTAATCGTGCTTTTACACCACCGATTAATTCCAGCGCGTCTTTTTTAGCCTGTTGTGCACCGAAAGACTCTCTTTAATGCCCATCGCAGCTCTTCGTCGACTGACCGCGCAACTCAGTAACCAACTGCGGGAAACACGTACCGTCAAGTCCAGTTGCGTCTTCGGAGAGAGCGGGACGATGTCCAGCGCACCCGGACGAGGTAAGAGGGATAGCCCAACAGAAATCCCAGTGTGTATGAATCTGAAGCCGTTTATTCAGTTAGCGCTGCAACCTGTCACACTTAAATGAATACGAAAAGCTTTCCTAGTAAAAGACCATCTTGGTTTGTAGTGTTCGGATATAATTGGAAATTTGCCTTTCTGAGAATCTTATACCAAAACAAGAATCGTAATAATATTGAACAAGTGTTCACTAATGCATTAAAATAAAAATTGTGTTAAAATCGCAGGATATTTGTATGATCAAAGCGTGTGCATAACTATTTAGGCGTTGTGATGAAGTCACGTCTATACTGTACGGTTTACTATGAAAGCCTGTTTATTAGACAATTGAATATTACAGAATGACCAATTAAAAGTACCATATAGGCTAGTGTATATTATATATAATTGTAGCGCATTTTTATATAGGTTTCCCATCGGGTTACATAAAGTATTATTATATATATACAATTTCTGTAATGGACATTAATAATGGTTAATAGTGGTTTCATAAGTAATTGAAAATACACAACTCGCATTTTACTCTAACAGCCATAAAATAATAATAAGCCAAAATTCAAAATATAATATTATATGGTACTTTGAGTTATTTCGTTCTCACTTTCAGAATAACGTTGAATCTATAGAACACCATGCAGGTACACCCACTCAAAGACAAATAGGGCTATAGGTGAAGCATTATCATTCAATAACCCACCAGGGGATACTCTCATCGCAGCTGTAAAATCATGTACGATTTCATTCACAAATCAACTGACGTCGTGGAAGTAACTGCTATAGAAACAGTCAACGTTTAAATTAAGATTAATACAGCCTATTTTATATGACGATAAAAATGAAAGTTAATGGCATATATATCAATCCAAAATCTATATCGATTAAACGAATATTTATTGGTATATTTGATAATTGTTGTTCGTTGGTTTTAAATTATGAGAAAAATAAGTGGTTATTAAATGGAAGTGCATCTTAAACGAAAACATATTTTCATACATAGGGCCTTGTATATAGATTCTTCTTAGTTGAACTAATGTTAAACTTCGCTTTCAATAGTATATATAAAGAAATTGCGTTAATTAACCTTATTAAAATGATAATTTATGGGCAAATCGAGTGAGTTGGTGAAAACTTTTTGGGGTAGGCCTATTATTTTTCTTTTACGTAATTACGTAAACCCTTTCTGATATGAGCGACTTTCATTTATATTTTGAGCCAAATTTAATAGGTCAAATACAATAATATAATTAAATTAATATACTGTAAAGAACATCTTAAGGTTTTGCAATATGGATGAAAAGTTATTCAAATGGAATTAAAGCGATAGGCCTGTTACGAATATAAAATTTGGAAAGTAAACTTGTGTATTGAATCAAAACCAATGCATCGCGCTAAATTGCTTAACCGGAACTAATTAAGATAATCGAATATATGATATAAGAAAAGCAGACGTTCTTGTAATTAAGATTGGTTGTTTATTAAATACGTAGAACATGTCTTCCCTTAGCCGAAATGTTTTCTTTTAACCTGCAGTGCAAAACGTAACTTTCCAGCGCAGCCTACATTCCTATTAAATTCAGCATATTGAATGAGACATATCACAAAATTAATTACTACTATAAAAGTAAATAAATTCTATAAAACAAGAAAATGTCCCAAAATAGGATTGCTTCCAGTTGGAAGATTACTCGGCAAAGGGTTTTACTGTTTTCCCCTACAAATATAGACAATTGAAAGACCTCGCTTGGAAGGTAATTAAAAGCTCCTTTTAAAAAATTGTGAGGGATCAGGGAAAAAAGATGGTTATCGCGTGGTCTTTGTCAGTTTAATTACGACATTGACGGATGTGATGGTAACTCTCGCTGTAGATAACGGAAGGATTCAGTCAGTCCAGAGACACCCTATGTGGTCTGAACTTTTTGATGTGAACTGTAGCATGAGACGACCTGTCAGACGCAGTTTGCTGGTTTAAAATACACCAATTTTAAACTACAACCTGCCCAGGTTACATGACTCATTGTAATTAATTACGGATCTCTGTCTATCCCGCCGCCCTGATATACTGTGTAATTGAGTGAGTGAATTGGATAGTCTTTATAAATGACAGTTGGCTCTCACTTTGCGTTACCATTGAAAAAAACATGTTACAAATTCTTTTACTTTGACAATCATTAATAGCAACCTATACCACACAGACGCATAAATGATTAATGTGTTAATATAATAGCGTACATCCGAATTAAGAGACTTACTCGTTTAAATATGATATAACCCCCATTAGAAACCGCTTCAATGTCAACACTTAGGTAGATACCAACGCAATCAGTTTTTTACGATTCCGCAAACTTGCAATAGTTTGTTGGAAATATAGGCTATGTGGTGGGTTGCATAGCGTTACATGTGTTAAAATATCTCATTTAAGGGCAAAGTTATTTAATTGGTAACTTAAATTTGTTTTATTTAATTTGTACAACTGATTTTGTATTGGTGATTTTGAGTTATGAATTTGAACATACGCGCCCCTTGGACTTTCAGCACCTTCCGCGCAGTCGGAAATAGTGGCCGAATAACCGCATTGACCAAATTCATGTTTAGCTATATCTGTCTGGTCCGACATCGATGTTTGGTTCAAAAGAAAATAAAACGTTCTGCTTAGCTAATTGACACAAGTTGTGCTGTCTTGAATACCTCCTCGAAATAGAGCTGTTGATATATCATATATCCCTGTGACTGCTCCATTTTACACGTTATTATGTTTTTTTGTTTTTTTTTTACAGATAATATATAGGCCTACTTACCGGTTGGGAGGTACGATTACTGATATCCTAGCTGTGATTTTATAACAATAAACATAATATCAATAATCCACAAGTTTATTTCTTCATTCTAAACAAAATTACAAAATTAAAATATTGAAATCAAGCACGTAACAAACCTCTGTAAATCCTGAGACTACAGTGTCGGTATACCTTCGCACATTCACGGTTTTCATACCAATGTTACATTTTCAGAGCAAACTATCGCAAAAAAAATGAGGGACATTATTTCGTGCTGTCAAAACGGTCCTATGCATTAATTATAAGTGCAGATAGAGAGTGATGACACAAACTGATTTGTTATAATGTCGGTTTGTGGTATGGTAGCTGTTTAAAGCAGCTCGCACGTGAATTAGGCTACAATTATAGAATTAAAACGGCAGGGAAAGGCGTTTCACGTTTATTTCACGTTTAATGAAATAAAGTGTTGTTCTTAATAGGTTACACCATTTCGCCTGTCTAACTTCGTATATTGACTATAACACGATGTACAGAAAAGTATCCCTCATGTATTGAAGTTTAATCTGTATACTGTGACTTGGGTTAAAGTTTAATGGTCACATTTTACGGCACATATTGGACTTCAGCGTGAGACATCCATGAGTTTGGACTCCTCCGTCTATACTTGCCACGGAATCCAGCGCAGTGCAAAATGGTTGAGCAGAAAATGTCTTAATAAATGCCAGGATGCTTGGTTGTAAGAAAGGCTGATTTTTATTTTAAGGAAACGATAAGCGTAACAATACGGATGGATAGATTCAATTAAATTACGTAGGATACATTTAAAAGCATTTTTAAAAGAATAAGCAGTACCGATAATTCAGGTAATATAAAATATGCTTTAAATATTCATTTAATGCGAAATTGGATTCTTAGGTGCGTGGTCTCTCCTGTTGCGAAACCATTTCTTTGATAATGTATGAATCTGTCATAAATAATTGATTGCAACTGAATTCAACCCTTTAACCCTTTAATGTAAAGGGGAATGACGGGCAGGGAAAATGCGCAAATGCCTAGTAAAACGGGAGACTTCGGCTTTCACTAAAAACAACACATCAGTAAAGCAAATTGCGAGCATACATGTGCCTCCGTCCAGTTTGTTAGTGTTTCCTCTTGGATGAGACAGACCCCGTGCTTGTGCTGTGTCCAGCCCTTGTCCTTATCGTCGATGGCAGGTGCGGATAAGTAATGGGATCTTTCTTTTAGTCCACCAAGGTTTCCTGTCCCTATCCGGTCCCCTTGGGGCAGCCCGATTTTAATATCCTCTTGACCGGTGGAGCTTGGCGAGGGGGCCCTTACACACTCCGCTACCACCGTTAATGGCGCACCCCCTCCCAGCTCCTCCGGCCGTTTGATGTGGAAATGAAAGCGAAGCGAGGTTAAAAGTGGGACAGGGGGGTGTAAGCGGGACGGGGCCCATCAATGGGTTAAATTAAAAGTCTGGAGATGCTTCGTCAGTCAGCGATGTCACACTACCACAGGGACCCGACACCGCACGAGACCCCCCCCGCCGCGGCAGCACACGGTATGGCTTCGTGTGTTATAAACGGTGTAAAGCCGATTAAAAATCAAATGCCATCTCTCTCCAGTAAAAATCACAGCTGGAGGTATCTTTGATTAAGATACCGTTGGGCTTAGAGAGAGAAGGACAAATTGCCATCTTTTTGTCCGTTATTTTAAAAACATTTTCGCTGGTTTTAGTTTAATTTGTTTTAATGTCTGTCTTCCATGGCAATGTCCCTAATTTTGTCACTTTTTTCACAGTCTCATTGTTGCTTCCAGATTTGTTTGGGCTTCTTCTCTTACTTCTGTTCATACTATCTGCGAATTTTGTTCTTTTCACTTTTTTTATTTCCACAAATGTGACCCCTGTGTGCTTTTTTTTTTTTTTTTTTCTTAAATGCAAGGTAACGTAGTTGAAATAATCCTAAAAAAACACAAAATACAAACGTACCTAACCACTGTTACCGTCATTTATACATGTCAAAATATGTACATTAACCAGCGTTTTTAAATTTAGGTTTTAGTCCATGAACATTTCAATCTACAAACATAAATATATTCTGAAATGCAGGCGATACTAGGTCAGTTTCAGTACTTATGTGATTTTAAAGGGTAAGTGTTGTGTTAAATACTGACTGTGGGCTGAAAGTTTGACTTCCCTCCCTCCCCCAGGCCATGGGGGCCTTAACCAACTAGGCGGTATGTTTGTGAACGGTCGTCCCCTCCCCGAGGTGATTCGCCAGCGCATCGTGGACATGGCGCACCAGGGCGTCCGTCCCTGTGACATCTCCCGTCAGCTCCGGGTCAGCCATGGCTGCGTCAGCAAGATCCTGGGCCGGTGAGTCATTGTGCAGTGTAGCCCGTCCACAGTCATATGCCCCCCCCCCCCAGTATAGACACCACACCAGCACACGTCTGCCCAAACCTTAGGAACCCCACTCATAATTCACATGCCCTCTATAGATGCCATATGAAGGGGCACCCATATGAATGACCAGGGGCCCCTCCCATAAACACGAATAGCAGTGACGGTTCATGACCTGGGGGGCCACAGCACTCAGCTTCCAGGTTGCGTACAAGACTGTCATTACTGACTGCATGGCCGGGAGAAGGCAGGTTTTCTTGCTGAGATATGGAGAAGGCAGGTTTTCTTGCTGAGATATGTCTTCTCTACCCTTTCGAACTGCTTAACTCTCCATTTATCTTCATGGCAGGTACTACGAGACGGGCAGCATCAAGCCTGGTGTGATCGGAGGCTCCAAGCCCAAGGTGGCCACACCCAAGGTGGTGGACAAGATAGCGGAGTACAAGCGACAGAACCCCACCATGTTCGCCTGGGAGATCCGGGACCGCCTGCTGTCCGAGGGCGTTTGTGACAACGACACGGTGCCCAGTGTCAGCTCTATCAACAGGTAGGAAAGGGGAGTTAGGGTGTCACGCAGCCCAGAGCCCCCCCAGATTCCCGTGTAGCTGCTGTCGCTGGTTGGTGTAGGATGATGTCCATCAAGCATGACCATGACGCCTCTGCAGGATCATCAGGACCAAGGTGCAGCAGCCATTCAACCTGCCGCTGGACTCCAAGGGACTGAGCCCTGGTCACATGCTGAGTGAGTTTCAGAGTCCCAGCCATACAGATGTCAGGTCACCACAGCACTTAGGAGACCATCCCGTGGCTTCAGATATACACAGATTTTAGAGTGATGACAAGGTCAAACTTGGTCATCAAGCTTTACTTCTGACAAAGGGTGTCATGTGTCATTGCTCTGAGGGCGGGGGGGGACTTCATGTATGTAGCAGGCCGGCCAGTGGTGGGTTTGTTCTGCTCCTCCAGTCAGTCAGATAACAAGTATGGCCAGTACATACCGAGTAATGCTCTCTGTCCCTCTCTTCCTCGCCGCCCCCCCTCAACGCTGCAGTTCCCAGCTCGGCGGTGACGCCCCCAGAGTCACCCCAGTCTGACTCTCATGGCTCCACCTACAGCATCAGTGGGCTGCTGGGCATCACGCAGGCAGGTCCTGAAGGCAAGAGGAAGCATGATGAAAGTAGGTTTGCTCCCTCCCTTTTCCAATGTATCACTCCCTGCTCCTCCCTCCCCCAACCTGCTCATCCCTCGTTTCTGTCCGCGGCTCAGCTGACGAGGACAGCTGCCGGCTCAGCCTGGACCCCCAGACCACTAGGGGGAGCTGTAGAAAGCAGCTGAGGCCTGAGCACCTTCCCCCTCTCCACCTGGACGCTCTGGACTGTGGCTTTGAGCACCATCACTGCCCCCCCGAGGCCTTACCCTCTGGTGGCCATGGCAAAACTGAGCAGGTACACGCATGACCCCCTGCTGCCCCCAGCCCTGCCCTCTGCAGGCACCCAGAGGGTGTTTCTTGAAAGCGTTCATTGTTGAGAATGTCATAATGCATTCTGCTAGCACATGCTAACGGGCAGTGGGCCACATTCCACTGAGGACAGTGGCATTAGCTATCCTGTTTGCACGTAAGGTCGGCGCCGTCGCGTAAATGATCTCTCTGTCTGTCCCTCATCAGGCCCTATATCCGCTATCGCTCATCAGCGGCTGCCTGGACGGAGGCAAAGCAAGCTCTCCAGCAGGCCGCAGCCTGGCGGCCCCCCACAGCTACTCCGTGGTGGCAGGTAGGAGATCCGCTGGCAAACGAGAGCCTGACACTGAGCACATGTCAACATCATCGCCCCCTTAGAAAGTACCTGAGTTTAGGTGCTAGTGACTCATTACCCCATACCATTCTTTAATTCCATTTTCATTTCCCTCATCCACTCACCCTCCTCCATGGTGTCGTGGTGCCACAGACCCTCTACAGGCCCCCCCAATCTGTCTGAAACAGGAAATGTCCCCAGAAGTGAGCAGCACCAGCGACTCCCCCAGCGGAGTGGACAGCTCCGCCTTCATGGAGCTCCAGCCAATCGCAGCTTCCGTTTCTGCTCGCAGCGGCGGGGGTGGCTCCTCCCATCTCTCTCATGCTTTCCGTCCATTCTCCCCTCATGGCCCAGTGTATGGGCAGCTCAGCACCCAGTCTCTCATAGCAGGTACGATAAGGGTCCTATGAGCTCGCCCGCCCCCCCCCACCTCACATTCCTCCCGCATTCCTCTCTGCTGCCACCTACAAGACCATTTCATCTCACCTTCTAGATACTCTAATGGTCCAGATCTTCTACAAAAGCCGGAAAGGCATGTAAATGTCACATGTTGATGGTTTAAACGTGAGATAATGCAGCCGGGTGGTGTTCTGTCTAACCCCCCCACACGCGGCTTGTCTCTGCTGGGGCTGCAGGTAGAGAAATGATGGACTCCAGTCTGCCTGGTTACCCTCCTCACATCCCGGCTAGTGGCCAGCCCAGCTTTACCTCGCCCACCATCGCCAGCATGGTTGCAGGTGAGAGAGGAACTCAGAGTCTCAGGCGGGATAGTCCACCTTCTGACGTTCAGGGACTCAGGCAAGATAGTTCACCTTCTGATGTTCAGGGACTCAGGCAAGATAGTCCACCTTCTGATGTTCAGAGACTCAGGCAGGATAGTCCACCTTNCCACCTTCTGATGTTCAGAGACTCAGGCAGGATAGTCCACCTTTTGATGTTCAGGGATTCTGGCAGGATAGTCCACCTTCTGATGTTCAGGGACTTAGGCAAGATAGTCCAGCTTCTGATGTTCAGGGACTCAGGCAGGATAGTCCACCTTCTGATGTTCAGGGACTCAGGCAAGATAGTCCACCTTCTGATGTTCAGGGACTCAGGCAAGATAGTCCATCTTCTGATGTTCAGAGACTCAGGCAGGATAGTCCACCTTCTGATGTTCAGGGACTCAGGCAAGATAGTCCACCTCCTGATGTTCAGGGATTCTGGTAGGATAGTCCATCTTCTGATGTTCAGGGATTCTGGCAGGATAGTCCACCTTCTGATGTTCAGGGACTCAGGCAGGATAGTCCACCTTCTGATGTTCAGGGACTCAGGCAGGATAGTCCACCTTCTGATGTTCAGAGACTCAGGCAGGATAGTCCACCTTCTGATGTTCAGGGACTCGGGCAGGATAGTCCACCTTCTGATGTTCAGGGGTTAGAAGCTCTGCCAGCTTAATAAATAAAAGAGTTTGTATAAATGCTAATGTGCACAAAATTGACTATTCAATGGCAAAGTCAATGACACCCAGTATAAATACAGATAAACTTTAAAATATGATAAACACATTTAATAAGAGGCTCATCTCCAGAAAACATTTTTGTGCTTTATTTAAAAAGTAACCCTATTTGTTTTTGATTTCACAGATTATAGGCTTGTTACAGTTTGTCCTTCGTTCTTTAAACTAATTTTCAACTTTGGCACCATTTCAATCATGTGTTCAGAATCAGACACAGATACACAGACACACAGATACACAGACAGATACGGAGCACATGCCCATGGTCCAGGCCAGACCTGGTCCAACTCACACCTAAACCAAGCTGGTCCCAGTTCAGCAAAGACCAGCCGCAGTGTATCTGCTGGGGAAATGGGGCAGAGACGTGGTCACCACACATGGGGGGGGGGGGCATAATACAGCCTGAGAAGAGGGGGAATGCAAAGGGAACAGAGGGGGGTGGCCAGAGAGATGGGGGGGGGGGCAATCACCTGTGGGAGAAGCTGTTTCTAACAGAGGGGAAGGGTTAGCTAATGAGTAACCTACCTAACCGCTGAGCTATGCTAGTAACCACAGCAGGGCACCCCCACATGGGCATCGCCATGGAGACGCAGGCAAGGGCGCAGGGTGAATGATGCGGGAGTTTGTGTGAGAAGAAGGATGCTGGACTCGTATCAGGACACGCTGGGGTCCCGCTCACACCTTAGGTACCGGCATAGCTAATAAAGTGGGGGGGTGGAGACGGAGTTTTACCCTGGACCCCGAATCCAGCTCAGATTAATGGTTTACATGGCGCTGGGGTCTTTGCTGATTTGCATATGAAGGTTCCATGGTGTGAGTCATGCGTTTTCACAATGGGATCACTGTTCACAGTTTATGACACGTGTGTTTACATGTGACACACTTATGTTTGTCATGTTTCTCCTAAAGTGATGGTTATTCTGTTTCACAACGCAAGATAAAGTTGAATTTTACACACATTATGCTCACCAAAATCATTTCCCTGAGCAGTTAGCAGAAATACCAAGCCTATCAAACTGAGCAATTCTGGGTCATTAATGGAACAAATATTGCTGTGTGTCGAGACCCCTGATGTGCATGTTTCCATTCTGCAGGTGCTGATTACTCCGGTCAGGCAGCGTACACACACACCCCGTACGCCTCCTACAGCGACACCTGGAGGTTCACCAACTCTGCCATTCTTGGTGAGGTCACCACACCCTGAAACACCCAGCAGCTTCATCAAGGTGGTCCTGAGGTTTAAGGTGGTCCTGCAGTTTAGGATAGTCCTGTGGTTTAAGGTGGTCCAGTACTTTAGGGTAATCCTGAGGTTGAAAGTAGTCTGACAGTTTAGGATAATCCTGAGGTTTAAGGTGGTCCTGCAATTAAGGGTGGTCTTGAGGCTTAAGGTGATCCTGCAGTTCAGGATAGTCCTGAGGTTTAAGGTGGTCCTGCAGTTAAGGGTGGTCTTGAGGCTTAAGGTGATCCTGCAGTTCAGGATAGTCCTGAGGTTTAAGGTGGTCCTGCAGTTCAGGATAGTCCTGAGGTTTAAGGTGGTCCTG